CAGACCAAAAAACAGTCTGGCTGCTACATTCTGGACCAGCTATAGTCTCCAGATCAGGCACAAGAGAAGGCCTAAGTAGAGAACATTGCAGTAGTTGATCCTAGAGATGACCAAGGCCTGCACCAAGGTTCTGAAGGAGCCCTCATCTAGATGAGGGTGGAATTGGCAATAAACCTGTGCTGGTTGAAGGCCATTCTGGACACAGATGTGATCTGGGAGACCCAAAAAAAGAGCCAGGTCCAGAAGAACACCCAGATTGTGAACCTGAAACCCTACACCATCCTGTCTAGGGATAACCCCCTCCAAACTTTTGGAGTGAAACTCCACCCCCTAGGAACAGAATCTCTGTTTTGTTTGGGTTCAGTGTGAGCCTATTAGCCCGGGTCCTTTCCGGTACTTAAGCCAGGCAGAGCTCTGGGTGGCGTCCACTGTGGAAGCGGTAAAGGAGAGATAGAGTTGAGTGTCGTCAGCGTACTGATGACATCTTCCCCCAGATCTCCTGATGACCTCCCCCAGCAGCTTCACATAGGTGTTAAACAGCATTAGGGCTAATGCTGACCCCTGGGGAAAACCATGCCTTAGAGCCCAAGGGGCCAACACCTCCTTCCCTAGCTGGACACAATCCTCAAGGAAGGATCGGAGCCAGCTCAATGCTAGCCCTCCAATCCCCACCTCCAAGAGCCTCTCCAGAAGGATACTGTGGTTGACAGTATCAAAAGCCACTGAGAGATTCAGGAGAACCATCAGGGCCCCTCTTGGCCTCCTGTAAAAGGTCATCTTACGGGACACACCAGTGTCGTCTCAGTGCCCCATTGTGGCCTGAATCCAGACTGGAATGGATCACAGCAATCCTGCTCCTCCAGGTATGTCTGTAACTGATTTGCCACCACCCTCTTGATCACCTTGCCCAGGAATGGTATATTAGCAATCAGATAAAAGTTGTCAAGATTGTCCATTACTAACTGAGTGCATTTGTTGAAGGGTTGAACTATAGCTTCTTTTAACCATGAGGGGAGGATTCCTTCACTCAGTGATGAATTAAGTATGTTCATGACCCAATCAATCACAGGCCCCTTTGTGGCTCTAATCAGCAACGCTAAGCAAGGGTCAAGTGAGGAGGTGATAGGCCTACAGCCAACCAGCACCCTGGAGACTTCCTCCAGTGATACGGGGTCAAACTGAATCAACTGGGCAGAGAGAGAGATGGAGCAGCTGTGGTCACCCCCAGGTCAGCTAAACTGATGGTGGAGTCAAGGTCAACAAGAATGGCCTCAGTTTTAGCTCTGAAGAAGGCTGCAAACTGCTCACTCAAAAAATCAAGACGAGGTCATGAATGGCCAGAATAGGTCAGGTCACAAACCACTCAGAACACTTTCCACCTGCTGGTTCATAGCCTCACCAATCATCCAAATGTTAAAAGCCTTTTTCACCCTTTTTAGGGCGTTGACCTATTTTTTGGCCATAATCTTAACTGTGGCCTTGTTTTGAGCTGACTGATCTCTTCTCCACCTGCTCTCTAGCCATCTCCTAGATAACGTCATAGCTCACAGCCCCTCGGTATACCAAGGGGCAGAGGAAGCTCTGGAGTGGAGAAGGCATTTGGGAGCAATTGTGTCAGCCACCCAAGTCGTCTCCAAATATCATTTGTCAACCTGGACTTTGACAGGATTGTCTACCAGATCAGCCGTAAGCCCTCCTGGAGCCTCCCAAAACTGTTCCAGATCAAGAAGCCTGCAAGGGCGGACCAACTTCATAGGTCCATTCTACACACAGAGAAGAGTCACAGTAGACAAATTAGACAGGTCGAATCTCAGTAGGAAGTGATTTGTCCACAACAGTGGGCGAGAGCTCACACTACCCACCCTCAGATTATCTTCTGTGGCCAGCCGAATGAGTGGGGCAGGTGACATGTTGGGATAGGCTCATGGAGTCCATGAAACCCAGGGCTTGGCAGAGACAGTTCTGACTCATCGTAGATGTTGACGTCCCCAGCTATCAATAGCCGAAATGAACTTAGCCAGCCCTGGCAGGGAGGCGCTTGGTTCTGGGGAGAGTGGTATGCCAGCACTATCCCGAATCTATCCCTAAGCCCCCCGGTCAAGTATAGACGATCTAAGCCCGGACTCAAATGTGAAGCGATCCTACTGGCCTGTATGTAATCCCTGTAAACTATTGCGACCCACCCCACCCCACCCTGCCCTCCGATCTGCCTTGATGCTGCACAGTGTTACCTGGGGGGGGCACATCTGGGAGCAGGCAACCCCTCCCTGGTTGCCCACTCTCATCTCTGTGATACAAGCCAGGTCTGCCTTCTCTTCCTCAGTGAGGTCATGAATCAGAAGGAAACTATTGGCACTGTGGGATAAACCGCAGAAGCCTCTGTGCTGCAGGGTCAGAAGACCAGCAGTCGTAAGATCGAATCCACGCGATGGAGGGAGTGCCCATCGCTTGTCCCAGCTCCCACCAACCTAGCAGTTCAAAAGCATGCAAATGCAAGTAGATTAATAGGGACCCCCTCGGTGGGAAGGTAACAGCGTTCCGTGTCCCTATTGGCGCTGTGGGCTAAACCGCAGAAGCCTCTGTGCTGCAGGGTCAGAAGACCAGCAGTCGTAAGATCGAATCCACGCGATGGAGGGAGTGCCCATCGCTTGTCCCAGCTCCCACCAACCTAGCAGTTCAAAAGCATGCAAATGCAAGTAGATTAATAGGGACCCCCTCGGTGGGAAGGTAACAGCGTTCCGTGTCTAAGTCGCACTGGCCATGTGACCACGGAAGATTGTCTTCGGACAAAACGTTGGCTCTATGGCTTGGAAATGGGGATGAGCACTGCCCCCTAGAGTCAAACACGACTGGACAAAAATTGTCAAGGGGAACCTTTACCTTTACCTATTAGCAGCAGACCTGGAATTGATCAGCAGGAGGGCCAGATTGGAGGGCCGGCTGAACAGGTACCCACCTTCTTGTTGGGGGCCCAAAGGATAAGAACATGTGACAGGCACCAATTACCCAACACGCATCCTCCTGTAAAGATAGGCCCCACAGTGCTCAGTTGGGGGGATCGCCATCAAAGTCCTTACTAAGTCGCAAAGGTCAGTAAATCAACGCAGAGTAGGAGCTGTTGTTTTTCAGCCATCACATACCCTCAACGGGTTCTTGTGAAGGGAAAGTGTGGGAGATCCGTGTATTTTACTTTGAGCTCATTATAGGAAAAACATAATATGCATATAAGTAATAAATAAAACTGCAACTGGTGGTCAAATGGCCACTAAAGATTGTGTCAGGTCCCATATTTTTTGACTGTTTGGAACATGTAAGCAGAACCCCACAGAGCTGAGGATGGGCCACAGCTAAATATGCTCCCACACCTCCTGTAAACACAAAGCTACTTTTCTGACTTTATTGATTACTTGGGCTCTCTCAGTGGACTTGGTCTGAAATATTTGATTTGCTCTTTGTCATGAATAAATTGTCCAATCCAAGACTATTGGTGGGCTTTTGTGCTTCTGAGAGGAGACTAGAATCTTGAGTTACTTGGTAAATGTGATTCAGTTCATAGAAAGGAAAATATAAACCTCCACTACAGAACTTGAGAAAATTACCTTTTCAGAAGTCACCTGCAAGAATCAAGAGCGATTACTGGTGAGGAATCCTAGAATTATAGTCTGAAAAGTAACTTTTCCAGCCTGTACTGTATCAGAACAACTGTTCAGCATTCTATTCTGTCCTTTTGTGTCTTTTGAGAACCTTGCAATATAATCTAAAATTTGTGATATTTAAGTCAATACCATTAAAAGAAGCCACAACCCTTAGTCTATAAGACGTGAGCACGACTGTTAATAACAAGACCTTTTGGAAGTCATTAATTCATACAGGCACCATAGCTTAGAAGCAATGTGAGCGGGTGCACGCACACACACAGACACACACACATGGATTTGCTAGTCCACAAACACTTTAAATGTGTGTTTTTTTAAAAAAAGATACCTTTAAAATACAAAATGTCAACATTATGTTCCAGAAATGGAATATGATTAACATGTTATAAAACTGAACATGCCATCCTAAAAGCTTGAGTATATTAAAGTCCTTCCCAGTTTGAAATTTAACAGGTCAGGCCTCTATAAATAATAACCGAACCAACATTGAAAAGACCTTTCCCTCAAGTCCTGCATGACCTAATGGGACACAGACGGTCCTTTTAGCGAAATAATAACCGAACCAACCTTTCCCTCAAGTGCTGCATAACCTAATGGGACACAGACGGTCCTTTTAGCAGAGTTTACCATTTGATTTTCATCTCTGCAAGTTGTTTGGGGCTGAATGTTCAAGGTGACACGTTGACCATGCTGGCTTGCGCAGAGGCCCTCTTCTTCCACCAGGGCGATGCTCCAAGCAAAGTGACAATGGACATTTTAAGCTAAGATACCTCAAAATGGAAGCTACTTAATGTAGTTCTATTTTTTTAAAATCTCCATCTTTCTTTATAATGAGGGCAACCACGAACACTGCAGTACGATTCCTTGATATATAAGTGAATTTAATAGTGTGACCTAAGCAGGTATAGCATTCCTCCTCCCTAGTTCGTTATTGTTTTGCTGTCTTAGAAGTTGAGAATTCTACTGTGGTATACGAGCAAGGGGGCAGCCCTAAGGTAAACTTCCATGAGATGTGGCCCCCGCTGATTATGAGCAAAATTGCACAACTTCAAGGGAAACCTGCTCCTCCACATCTCTGACCAACCAGAATGACGTGGGCAGATGATGGCGGCAGTGGGGTGGGTAAAAACAAGGACGTATGGCTGACGAGGTGTTATAGGCATCTGCGGGCCGAGTGACAGACATACATTTTTGTGAATGGACAATTTGCCTCTCACTGACTCTAGCTGAGGTGAGAAGGTGAGGAAAACCATCGGCCCAAGTCTTTCTTGCTTGTGTGATCTGTGGTTTATTTGGTTCTCTTTATTGTTTTTATTTTCTTGGTGCTGTTTTTCCCTTCTGCAGAGTCTGAACAGCTGCTACAAGTGCCTTTTGCAGGGGGAAAAACATGGCAGAAAAAGGTTCCACTCTCATTGTGGTCCTCTTGGTGATGGGCAACGTCGTCATCATGGTGAGTGTCCAGAAAGTGAGAATTCTCTGTAGAACCCCTTTTCCCCATCCTGAGCTTTGCAATCCCAAAACAGCGCTATAGGGTTCGCCAAGCTGTGATGCAACTCATCTGAAAGGGAGCAGGTTGAGGAAGCCCGCTGCAGGGGGAAGGGTACAATCTGGCCTGGAACATGCATGGAGGACCTCTTTTCTGCCTGGGATCCAAATTGGAAAGAGTCTCTGGAGCCACATTCAAGCAGAGGATAGGGCTAAGTCAGGAGTGGGCAGCTTTGGTCATCTTCCAAATCTGGGAAGTGGGTTTTTTCGTTATAGTATCAGGAGTGCTGTGGACGATATGAAAAAGGCCTCCAGAAGCAGCATTTCAATGCACTTTTTGTAATGAAGAAAGAGTGGATTAACGAAGGCTGCCCGGAAGCCACAAAAACAGCCTTGTGGGTAGCATTTTGCCTACCAATGCTTTTTACAGAGACAAGAGCATGGGGACAAGGATGGCTAGTTAGAGGGGTCAAAGCAAAGCAGCTGGGCCCAGAAGGCATTCTTTGACCAATTTAGCCATTTTCTCATCCACCATATTACAGAGCTCAGTGCAGTTCTGTGCATGTCTGTTCAAGAGGAGCGTCTAGCCACTGGCCTACAAATTAAGGCAGGGGTGAGCAGCATGTGGTTCCCCAGAGGTATCTTTATCGTTCCCAAGGTCTCGTACATTTAACTAGGCCCACAAAAGCTTTTTCAGTGGTTTCCTCACAACAAATTCTAGGTTTGAGAAGCTGAAACATGGTAGGATGCAGTGACCATGTTCACTATACAGGCAGTTCTGCTGACTGGCGTGTTTCAGGAGAGGCCCATGGCTTTTGTGGTAGAATCCATGATTCTTTGCCAGAGATTCTATGTTCAGTTCTTGGTGTCCCCATTGAAGAAGATCAGGGAGCAGATGATGGTAAAGACATCTGTTGGGAAGCAGCATCCAACTAATGTATTCACGAAGACTTTCACAACCTGGATCTAATGGTTGTTGTGGGTTTTTCGGGCTCTTTGGCCATGTTCTGAAGGTTGTTCTCCAACAAACACCAACAGAGCATGGACAGAGTTCCTACTTCAGTCCTCTGAAGATGCCGGCCACAGAGACTGGCGAAATGTCAGGAAGAACAACCTTCAGAACATGGCTGAAGAGCCCCAGAAACCCACAACAACCATTAGCATCCAACTAAGTTAGCTCTGGGCAAATGCAGAGGCAATATTGTGCCAGATTAGTCTTCCCAGATGTAGCACCTTGCAATTATGGTGGTGTATAATTCCCATCAACCTCAATACATAGCCTGGTAGTTTGGGACGGAGGTGGTGACTGAACACAACTGGGTGAACAAAGAGTCTGAACTAGTACAAGGCCCACCCCCATACCACAACCTTCCTTTTTTCCCCCCTGAAGTTGGCAGGACTTGCCCTTTACGCCGAGTCCGTCTGGGTAACAGCTGATCCGTACAAAGTGTATCCCATCATGGGAGTATCGGGCAAAGACGACGTCTACGCGGGTGCCTGGATCTCCATTTTCACCGGGTTTTGCTTCTTCTGCGTCTGTGTCTTCGGCATTATCAGCCTGGTGAATGGCAACCGCCTCATGGTGTTGTTGGTGAGTAAAGCAAGTGGGAAAGAGGCATTGTTTTGCATCCAAGTCATTGGGGGGGGGCGGTTAGAAGCGCCAATCATTTTCTCAATCAGTGTGTGTTTCTGTTTGGTACGATGGGGCAGAGCTTTGAACCTCCAGGACAGTACTCAGAAACATGGGACTGATGAAACTTTCACACAGTTTCCCCTTATTTATTCTCTTCCCCCCCCCCAGTCAAATAGGAGAATTGCTCCTCTGGGAAAATGAGTCTCCTCAAAAACAAGGTGCAACCTGTTATATCTTTTGAGTAAACTATAAGTTATAGCTCATCACAATTACATGCCATCAATTACTGTATTTTTCTGTGTATAAGACGCCCCCATGTATAAGACACCTCCCCACTTTTCTAACCCAAAATTAAGAAATCTAAGTGGGGCTTAGCAAGTGTAGGGGGAAAGGGATCAAAGCCCTGCAGGATCACTTTGATCCTTGCTTTCCCTTCCATTTGGTTTTTCTCTCCTCAGCTGACTTCCGTGTATAAGACAACCCTCAATTTTTAGTCTAAAGATTTTAGACAAAAGTATAGTCTTATACATACAAAAATACAGTATATATCTGACTAATGGCAACCCTTTCCAGGGTTTTTGAGGTACAGAACACTCAGGAATGATTTCCCAGTCCCTTCTTTTAGGGCCGCTCTGGGACTTTGGAGCTTGCCCAAGCTCCACAACCAGGAACTCAATTCACATTACAAGTAGCCCCAGCCATTAGTCAGGGTGAGATGTTTGCCTCAGAGGCTGGAGCAGGGGAACAGCAACTCAGGTCTATTTCCACTAATCACCACCCATTCTCTTTCATGACTTCCATAGCATGGGTACTTGTCAGCTGGCTGTAAGAGGCAGCCGTGAGGCTGTGAAGGCTGTTGCCATTGCTTGGCTCTTTCACCTCCCCTCACCGGTTGGCAGGTGGTAGCAGAGGGAGTTATGTTGGCCTTCCCTGATCAGGCAAATATCTTCTTATTCAGGCTGGCCTATGGAAGTTAAGCTGGGTTGCTCTGAAGGGGGTTTAACTGTCTCTTTTCCTGCTGTCTGTTTTTATTGTGTTTGTGTTTATTTTTACATTGGGTATTGTCTCTTTTCCTGCTGTTTGTTTGTTTTTATTGTGTTTGTGTTTATTTTTACATTCTTTTTTATTTTCTTTGAGTGGCAATCTTTGTGAGAAAGGTGAGCTATAAATTCGATCAATAAACCAAAATCCTTTTCCCTCCCCCTTAACTTCGCAGTACCTCGTGCTGATCTTGATTGTCTACTTGTTTGAGTGCGCTTCATGTATCACCTCCTACACACATCGTGATTATGTAAGTACAAAGATAGGAAATCTTCCCACCTAAACCTTGGCGCCATCTGTTGTGAGTGTGCATGTATTTGTGTGCTGTGTATGTTTAGTTCACTGAAGCCTTCCAATGCAGGTAAGAATGGATTGTCAACAATTCAACAATCCATTGATACAAAGCCCCATATAGCCTGTGGATTTTGTGGAAGTTCTCTTATCTAAAAGAATGACTAAAATAGTTCTAAGTTGTACTTAGAATGTTTGACAACCTAAGGTTTTTTTAACCCTACAGTTCCTAACTCCTCACTCTTCATGCCTATAAGAGTTTACAGGAGCTGCAATCCAAAATGTCTTAGGAGCCAAATGTTCCAAAATGAGTGTTTTGACCATACCCTAAAATGAGACAAACTGCTTTGGAATGAAACTATCAATACTTATTGCTTGATTGCCATAGCCACAGGATGGAAACCTGTCTGCCTTCAGTCCTGTGTTGCTCTGTTTGGTCTTTGTGGTGGGCTCCTTCCTGCCATGACATTGTTGCCTCTTAAGCACAAGGGGAGGGAGGGGAGGAATAGCACAAACCCCCTCTGCTGGCTCTTCAAAAACCTTTGATGTGTTCTTTACACATGTGCAGAGATTATCATCTTTAAGTAGGGGGTATGTGACCTTCCTTCATAACTCCTATGAATCCTACTTCACATTGATGAGGGATCATGGGACTAGCAGGTGAAACACTTTTGAAAGCTCAGATGTTCTCCATCTCTGCTGGACGTAGTGGCTGCAACTGAGCCTGGCATTATAATGCTCCTCCCTTTACCCAGGATGGGGAACTTCTGATCCTTCAGTGTTTTGGACTTCAAGTCCCAAATACTCCAGTCTGCATGTTTATTATTTTATTAAAGTTCATGGGGCTTGTGACTCCTTAGCAGTACTTGGTTGGAAGCTAAAGACTTCCATCCTGTTGCTACAACAAGCAAAGCAAAGCATACTGCTTATATACCTTACTTCCATCTTGTTGCTACAAAAGCAAAGCATACTGCTTATATACCATCCCGTAGTGCTTACAGCACTCTCTGGGTGGTTTACAAGACTATTATACCGGCTACACATTGCCTTCTCCCAGTGAGCTGGGTACTCATTTTACATAAATTATACAGGCTACGCATTGCCTTCGCACTCATTTTACTGACCTCAGAAGGATGGAAGGCTGAGAGAACCTTGAATCAGCTACTTGGGATTGAACCCTAGGTCGTGAGCAGAGCTTGGCTGCAGGACAGCAGTTTAACCACTGTGCCACAAGGCTCCTAAATCAATAAATATTGGTGGTTTCATTCCCAACCCCTTGAGGTTCTGGATTACCGCTCCCATAAACTCTTACCATTGGCCATAGAGAGTAAGGTGATTAAGAGTTGAGGGGGGTGGAATCCAGGTTGTCAAAAATTCTAAGCACAACTTGGAAATATTTTGGTCTTCCTTTCACTCTCAGTGCTATCAAAAAATTTTTATGGAAGGCAAGCTAATAAACAGATCAAAATTTATCTATGGAATACACTATGCAAAAATCAGTGTTACATGTATGTTTCCATCAAAAAACCAAAAGACTCCCTACTCATATTCCTCATTTAACACCAAATCACAAGACTAGCACATGCTGAGGATTATAAGTAGTGGTAATTTGTCACTGAGACTTTCACCTTTGTACTTAACAGTAGCATTTATGAGTAACAAGTTTCTGGCCACTGATTCTTTGCAGTCAAAACATTTAGAATATATGGATCTTGTACAGATTTGGTTGCTAGGGAATGTGGCCAACCAACCTTTTTTCTCTCTTCCCTGCCCCAGGTGGTTTCAAATTCCAGGTTAATAACCAAACAGATGCTCTCCTTCTACTCGGCAGATTCAGACCAAGGCCGGGAACTCACCCGGATGTGGGATCGCTTCATGATGGAGGTAATGCCTCTCTGACCAAGCTAGCATGGCAGATTCACCATGTGCCCTTCTTTTCCAGTCCTCCATGTGAAGTGCTGCTGGAGTGCAGCCTTCTTTTTTGAAGACGTATTTCGTCCGGTTCAAGTCTGATTTAGAGATAAAGAATCGTAAGGCAGTGGTTCCCAACCTGGTAAAGTGCTGAAGTGTTCTTGGTCTGCAGTTCCCAGAAATGGCAGCCAGCAGGCTGGTGGTGACGGTTTGTGGGAATTGCAGTCCAAGAATACTTGAGTTACCCAAGGTTGGGAACCACTGCCATAAGAAAAGAGGAAAGGGATCTTCAAAATTGCCTATTGAGATTGATCAGCTTGGTAGCACACTCAACAGGCATGGAAGCTACCTGACCACAGGTTTTCCAATTCAAGCAAGATGGATAATCAATCTCTTTGAATTATTATCTGTTCAAATTCTGCATCTATGCATATTAGCATATGCAATTTTAATGCAAGCCAGTGGCCAAAAACCTTTTGTTGTGTGTCGTAGTTGCACTAGAGTAGGCCCATTGAAGCAGTAGTTGGTGAGTCAACCCTTCTGTAAGTTCCAGTAATTCAAATAAGCCTATTCTAGTTGTGACTTGCTTTAGTGTAGTACGCTGCAACTAGAGTAGGTCCATTTGAATCAAGTGAGTCAACCCTTCTGTAAGTACCAGTAATTCAAATAACCCTATTCTAGTTGTGGCTTGCTTTAGTGTAGTACATTGCAACTAGAGTAGGTCCATTTGCATCAAAGAAACTTACAGAAGATTTCAGCAAATCTCCACTGCTTCAATGGCCTGCTGTCGTGCAACTTACAATGCTAAACAATAGGATTCCAGCCAGTGTCCTGTTTTGTCCTCCCTTGTAGCGACACGTCAAAGAGCCACTCTGATCATGGCTCACCTGTACAGCTTTGGATTTCTTGCTCTTTCGTTTTAGGAAATGAAGGAAGCATGCCAGGAGTGGACAGCTGTGGCCCTCCAGATGTGTTAGGCCTAAACATCTAGCCAGTTTAGAGAATGAGGAGGAATTACAGGCATTGTGATCCTAAACATCCGGAGGGCCACATGTTCTCCACTCCAAGGACTGGTGCAAAAAAAGAGGATGTCTTGACAAGGTGGCATCGTTAAATTCAAGATGGCTGCAGGCAGGCTTTCCTGAGAATGCCCACCAACAGCAGAAGTGTATACAATTGTAGAAAGTGTGGAAATAGTGGGACTAATACTAGAACCCCCTAAAGCTGTATGTTAGGCTATTCAGAACAGTTAAAAGGAAGTACTTCGCCATATTGTGTGCATTTAAATTGTGGAATTCACTGACAAAGCTGAAGTGACAGTACCAACCAGGGGTTTCTCCTGAAAGCGAATATGGTCTCTGACAAGTGGTGATGATATTTAAGGGGTTTTCCCACCCTACAGACAATGGAAGGAATCAAAAGTGACAAACACTGACAGAACCTACATTTTGGAGGGGTTGTATTTGTTTATTTATGTATTACATTTTTATACCACAACATCTAGTGGCCATTGCCAATACTCTGGGCAATCTGCAGCAATAAAGTTAACATAAATAAACATAATTGTGGCCTTAGGATAGCTCACTGGTTTAGGTCTCTGGCTGTGGACCCAGAGGTTGGGAGTTTGATTCCCCACTGTGCCTCTTTGACAGGCGCTGGACTTGATGGCCCTTCCAACTCTGCAGTTTTAAGATAAAGCAATAACCAGGTCCCACTCAATCCACAAATATAAAAATAAAAAGTATACTATTAAAAGACAACAAATCTTAAAACCAAGGATGGTGGCTTTTGAACCCAGCCAGCCACCCACCTAAAAAGGCTAGGGTTTCCCCCCCTCCATGTTTTGCTTTGTAGTGTGGCTAAGCCTCTTCTTCAGTCAGAAGCTTTGCAATATGGGTGCTTATTGAGAAGGAACTTCCATTCTTCTCCCTTTTATGTTGCCTAAGTCCAAGTGAGTGCCGTCAGAAACCCTGATAAGATCCACGCTTATTCCTAAAACACTCTTCTCTTCTTTTCTCTTCAACAAAATCTGACTTTTTAATGGAATAGATTGAACCTATTTCAAAACACTTTGAAGAAACTCGTTTTTGAAAACCCTTTACAAATTATTCTGTGTGCTGGCTTTTTTATTTTTATTTTATTATTTTATTATTTTGTTCTTTGGTGCTAGAACTGAAAGCTCCCGGCCTCGGCCCTTTACAGGAGAGCTTCGCCCCCATAATCCCCTTTGGAAACCAGCTGTCCTTCACACAAACTCTTTAGCAAATGTTAGGGAAACCTTTGAAGCCTTTCAAAAATGAACTTCAAGATGGATTTGAGTTTTTGGTTGTTTGCTTGTTGGTGGATTCGTGTTTAATACTGACAGTTTCCAACCCAGGAAGTTATTGTTGTGTGAACTGCACCATAGTACAAAGCAAAACAAACAAAACCACCTCCTGGAAGTGGTTTTTAAACACCTGGAATTTTGGTACTAATCTGAGGCTTGATTTGTCTGGACCGTGGGCAAAATACCGTATTTTTCGCACCATAAGACGCATTTTCCCCCCATAAAACAGGGGGGGTGGAAAATCTGTGCGTCTTATGGAGCGAAGAAAAGAGATTATATTTTCCTGTTTTCTTCTCCTAAAAATTAGTGCGTCTTATGGAAAGGTGCATCTTATGGAGCGAAAAATACAGTATGTATTACTAGCACACAGTTGGGTGCATCTAATAATAATCATTATGAACCATCAAGTCAATTCTGACTTATGGCAACCCTTCTCAGGGTTTTCTAGGCACAGACTACGCAGAAGTGGTTGGCCATTATGCCCTTCTTTCTGGAGGTGTGCTGAGATTGTGCAGCTCACCAAAGGTTACATAGGCTGGCTCTTCTCCCAGGAGGTTCCAGTGGGGAGTCCAACTCCCAACCTCTGGCTCCACAGCCTAAACCACTGAGCTATCCAGCTAGCTGGGTAGATATAGGGGAATAAAAAATAAACCCAGAAAAAGTATGAAAACCAGATGTTATGTGTACATTTGAATGGAAAGTGATTCTACTGAGAGATGTTGTTGCTGCCTCTGAGACAAACTGGTGGGAAGAAAGAAGCATCTTTATCATCCTTGCTCCCCAACAATAAATTTATCTGGGCAGGGAAAACTTGACCAGTGAATTTCCAGGCACAACCACTGATGCCACAAAAAGAAAATTTAAAATGGAGAGAACTTCAAACACACAGCTTCCATGAACTAAGGAGAGATTTGCTGGCTCTTTACTTAAGGTGGGGCAGTGCTGAATGTAGGTATCAGGTATGCTCAGCTAAGCACTGGTGGTTTCTTTAGAAATGGGAATGACAAAAGGGGAGAAGGTTGGAATTCTTCATACAGACTTGGAAAAGGATCATCAATTGTAGATTTGTGGTTTTAAATAGAAGTGTAGACAGAAATGCTGGTAAGCTCCATGATCAATTCATCACCAAGTGACAAAAAAGGAGGGGAAAAAAACTCTGGAGGAAACCTTGGACAGCTTTTTAAAAGGACTGAACGAATTCAGATTAGAGCTATCAATACCTGTTAGTTGTGATGAATACTGTATATATTCTCTCTAGTATCTTGGCTTGTCAGTTGACGAGGAACATAAATGGACGAGAGTGCATGTCGATGATCAGCTTCTGGAAGGCAACTGGTTGCTCTCTGTAGGAACAAAACGCTAAGCTAGAGAGGTCTTTGGTCTGATCCAGCTGTTCTATGACAGTGGGAAGGAGACACAATGGAAGCCTATGTTGATGCCTTGAAAATACCCTGATGGGGCATATCAGGACGGTGTGCTTCAAGCCAGGATCAAGAGATGTCATCCAGTAGAACCTGCATCATCTCTTTCCAAGCTACGTCCCAACATGAATTCAGGGACACAACACAGCAAGTTTCTTCACAAATAGCTAGTGCCAAAACTAGACGCTATTGGTGAATTGGCCTATCTGATGAGCTATCCTGAAGCTAATCCTATATTTGTCCAGTGCCCTATTAAACAGGACTGTAGGAAGCTGCTCTATACCACATCTGTCCATCCATCCCAGTATTGTCTCCTTTGATGGGCAGCAGTTTTCAGGGAAGTCTTTCATATCACTTCCTTTTCCCAGGGGTGGCTCTCCAGATGTTGTCAGACTGCAACTCCCATAATCCCTCACTGTTAGCTATCTGGCTAAGACAGATGGACACTGCAGCCAAAGATGATGTTGAAGGCCACATGTAGTCCATTCCATCTATCCTACCTTCACTTTTAACTGGAAATACCAGGCATTGAACTCAGGGAACACCATCTGTAAACACCACAGGGGGGAGGGTAGAAAAAAAAAGAATTAGGAAACCCATGTAGTATGACTTCTTCTGTTCCCACCTGTAGCAACAGTGCTGTGGCACCAATGATCCCATGGACTGGGTGAACTACACCTCGGTCTTCCGAAGCAGGTACCCTGAGGTGGTGGCCCCTTGGCCTTTCTACTGCTGCAAGCGCGACCGTAACTTCATCATGATCAACGAGGAAGGCTGCCGGCTGGGGCATGTGGACTACATCAACACGGAGGTACTGAGTTCCTTTACATCGTTCCTGAAGTTGGCTGCCACAACCTTCATGAGAAGGTTTTGTGCTGTCTTCACTGGCGTGAAACCTCCCTATCTCTAGGGTGGAAAGCACTCTTTTGCTCTGTACTAGGGTTTTAAAGGGAGGAACAGCAGTGCCTCCAGCATCTTTTCTCCACAAAGATCTCATGGTTTTTTCCCTTCTCTTTTCAGGGCTGCTTTGAACACATCAAACATGCAGTGCAGAGCTACGCCTGGGCGGTCTCCTGGTTCGGCTTTGCAATCCTGATGCTCACGGTGAGTTCTCCTTGGAAGGTTTCTTTGGGGAGGAAATGGAAGGAAAACATGTATAGAGACAATATGGTAGTCATGGGGGGGACAGTGGTCCCATCCAGATGACGTTGGGCTCTAGGCCCACATCCCCTGGCTGCATGGTAAATGACCAAAGATGATGGAGATTTGAATCCAATAACATCTGGAAGGTCACATATTCTCCACCTTTTGCTTGGCATGCTAAATTATGATTGGGAAGAGATATATTTAAATCTACTACCTGGCCAGAAAAACAGCCTTGAATACCTTTGACCCGTTACACATCCTTTAAGCCTAACCTACTCCACAGGTAAAGAGTTAGAAAGCTGCAGGTTTCCCATTTGGATTAGATCATGCATTTGTCTAGTAGTCCACCATCTGTTTTTTGTGGGTTTTTTTGTAGTAGCCAGTCAGATGCTGTTAGAAAATAGTCCACCATCTGTTTTTTTTTATTGTAGTAGCCAGTCAGATGCTGTTAGAAACCCACGAGTATAACAAGAAGCAAATGACCCTCTTTTGTTTCCTAACTACTTGTATTAAAAATATATTTCTTCCAGATTTGTGGCTTACATATAATCAATCTGATATAAACATTGGCAGAATTATCCTTCATAAATAGGTCCAATCTCTTTTCCACAGCTTGGAAAATTACTTGTTACTCCCAGAAAGTTCTATTCCAAGAACAAACAAACAAACACCTGGAGGCAGATTCTGGGTGTTGTAGAACAAAACAAAACAAAAAGGAAAATTTTAAAGCTCTGTCCTTTCTGAGGTCATCTAAACCACTGGTTCTTAACCTGAGGCAGATTCTGGGGGTTGTAGAACAAAACAAAACAGAAATTTTTTAAGCTCTGTCCTTTCTGAGGTCATCTAACTAGGACTTTTAGGATAAAACTGAACAAGCAGCAAGACTGAAATTAAGGGAGAGAGGTATGTCCCCTTGAGATAATTTTTTAAAAAAATGCTACAACATATTTTGTGGGAGTTGCAGTTCAAAAACACCTGAGTAACAAAGGTTAAGAACCACTGATCTAAACTAGGACTTTTAGGGTAAAACTGAACAAGCAGCAAGACTGAAGTTGAGGGAGACAGGTACGTTCCCTTGAGATATATTTTTTTAAAAAAATGCTACAACATATTTTGGAATTGCAACAGATTTGATCTCAAGATCTCCTCTCTTTTTCCACAGGTTCCAGTTGTTCTTCTGGCGATATACCATTATACGACAATGTGAGGATTCCCAGCTGTTCCAATTGTGGTTGCCCCATGATGGAGGAAGATGCACCCTGATCCATCCTTCTAAGAAAAACTCCATGGGTTTCCTCCTGTACTGGTGCTGTACTACAGCACGTTTTCCAAGGCTGAACTACTCCCTCAGCTGTTTTGCCTGTGGTCACTTCTGCCGAGCACCTGCAACTTCATACTAGCCTGTTGCACAAAAGGCTTCTGTGGAAAAATGTTTTCAGCAACCACTGTGTATCTTTGTTGCTCTTGCTTTTTTTGTTTGTATGTAGTATAAATACTATTTGAAATACATAAAGAATACATTTGTTTCTCTCTCTTGTGTGTGTCTGTGTGTGTACATGCTGCTTTTCTTTTAAAGTATGGAAATTAACCTGATTTGTTCATCACCTTGTTACAACTAGGTTGAGAAGGGTGACTCATGAGGGAACAGATTCCAGAGTAGTGAGAATGGGTTCTTGGCTGGCTGCGATGGCTATTGGAGTCCAGCACATGTGGAGTGGCAGGTTCTGGAAGCCTCAGTAAGCATGTTAGGTTTTTAGTGCTGAAATTTGGCAAATCGTAAGGAAGCAAGCAAAATGCTTACTTCAGATGGGGTTTCCCCAGTTTAGTGTCAGGCATTGTCACCGAACGTTTGTGGCAATTTGTGGAGCTTGAACGAAGGGTCGCAGGAACATCACAAGACCAAATGTGACCTCTGCGTTTCCCAGCTCTGGATGAGGATGTGGGCAGCAGAGATTCAGATCATTTCAATTCAGGTCTGAAACAGTCCCTACAACTCAGCACACCCACATCTGAGAGTTAGCATGTGAGGCTACAAACGACAGAAGAAAACCATCTATGCCACCCAGAATGCTTTAGAGCAGTGGCTCCCAACCTCGGGTAACCCAGGTGTTCTTGGACTGCAACTCCCAGAGCCCCCAACCAGCATAGTTGGTGGTAAACATTTCTGAGAATTGCCATCCAAGAACACCTGGGTCACCCAAGGTTGGGAATTCCTGCTTTAAAGGAAAGGCAAGATAAAAATGGCACCACAGATGAACAAAGGAGATCTATCTGTTCACAGAGTGATGTACGTATTTACATTCTATTGTGACAGAGCAGGAGATGGTACTCAGTATACAAGCTGCTTTCATCAAGAGCACTGTAAAAAAAAAATTCCACACACTCCTTTCCTCTCCTGCCTTCTCAGGTGTCTTGACTGCATTCCTGGTAACACTGTGTAGTGGGCTCCAGTGGTACGGTTTGGTTGTAAGCCTAGCACGTTTTTCCAGTCAGGGAGTATTTCTAGCTTCCCAGTGACATGTAGCCTAAGTGCCTTGATGATCCCCTTGAGCTAAACCAGGACCTGGCACTGGGTTTTGTTTTTGAAAAGCAAACTTGACTAGAAAGGATGCAATGGGGATTGTTCAAAGAGCGCATCTGTCCCTTTTCTTGCTGAGGATTTCAGTATTTTTCTCACCTTCCAGTTGATGGAAGACTTGATGCAGTATGATCTGTGCCTTTCCCACATCTGTGCATTTTTTTAAAAAAAATCTTCCTGAGAGGGTCGTTTTTGTCCAGGATTCATTCTGGAGGGTGTTTAGTATTAAAGTGCTTCCTATGGAGACTTCCTTTCTGTATCAGAGCGTCTGGATGGGAAGTTTTTAATTACCATACTATTTGATCAATTTCTCAAAAGAAAGAGTGGTTCCAGCAGGGAAATGGATATCTTGCAAGGATTTCCTGAAGAAAAGCAATTTCCAGGGAATGGCTCTTTACAATTCAGTTTGGGCCCTAATCCTGGTAAGCTCCCCAGAAAGTAATTGTTGTTGTTTAGTCTTTAAGTTGTTTCCGACTCTTTGTGACCCCATGGACCAGAGCATGCCAGGCCCTCCTGTCTTCCACTGCCTCCTGGAGTTGGGCTAAATTCATGTTGGTAGCTTCGATGACACTGTCCATCCATCTCATCCTCTGTCGTCCCCTTCTCCCCCTGCCTTCACACTTTCACAACATCAGGGGCTATTCCAGGGAGTCCTTTTCTCATGAGATGGCCAAAGTATTGGAGCCTCAGCTTCAGGATCTGTCCTTCCAGTGAGCACTCAGGGTTGATTTACTTCAGAATGGATAGGTTTGTTCTCTTTGCAGTTCAGGAGACTCTCAAGAGTCTCTTCCAGCACCACAATTCAAAAGCATCAATTCTTCAGCAGTTGGCTTTCCTTATGGTCCAGCTCTCACTTCTATACATTGCTACTGGAAAAATCATAGCTTTGACTATGCGGACCTTTGTTGGCAAGGTGATGCCTCTGCTTTTTCAGATGCTGTCTACGTTTGTCATCACTTTCCTCCCAAGAAGCAGGCATCTTTTAATTTTGTGGCTGCTGTCACCATCTGCAGTGATCATGGAACGCAAGAAAGTAAAATCTGTCACTCCCTCCATGTCTTCCCCTTCTATTTGCCAGGAGGTGGCCATGATCTTAATTTTTTTGATGTTGAGCTTCAGATTTTTTTTTTTGCACTCTCCTCTTTCACCCTCATTAAGAGGTTCTTTAATTCCTCCCATTTTCTGCCATCAGAGTGAGATGGGGACCTTGGTTCCTATCCCTATCCCAGCAGATCGAACTGAAATTGCCAATTTTTTTCATTAGCCAGATTTTTTTAAAAAAAAAATCTGTCCTTTTAAGGTCAATGGCAGGGTACAAATATTTGAAATAAATAAACAAGCAGTTGCAGGTGTTTCTGGAAAAATCTGATATTTCTCGTTATTGCCGGGCTTGGGTCAAGACTGCAGTCAAGACTCTGCTCACAACTTGAGTTTGATCCCAACGGGCTCAAGTAGCCATCTGAAGGTTGATTGAGCTTTCCATCGTTCTGAGGTTGGTAAATCTGAAGCTTGGTTGAGCTTTCCATCGTTCTGAGGTTGGTAAATTGAGTACACAGCTCAGGGGGGTGGGGTGGGGGTGAAATGTGTAGCCTGGATAATTAAATTGTAAACCACTCAGAGAAAGGTTTAAGTGCTACTGGGCGACATACAAGCAGCACGCTTCGCTTCGCTTCTATGATCGTATGATTCCACTGGATTGCCACCTAACAATTTGAGTCTCAGACGAGAACTGCTGTGACCTAGGGTCGGGTTTCCATTTACCCAGGATGCTCACTAACCTATCATTCTTTCTGAACCTAAATCTCCCTCACCGGGTTGTTGTGAAAAGATAAAGGGGAGGGGGAGAGCCATGTCTAATGCTCACACAGGCAGCTGTCAATCCCTGAGGGCGAAGAAAGAAACAACGTGATGCATAAGTGGTGTGTGAAATTGGTCCTGTAGGTGGAGAAAATGGATGTCTAAAAAATGGGCACAGGAGTAAGGTTTGACCATTGATGAGACAACATGCCAAACGAGGCCTGAGCAGTTAATGTCAGCATCACCGCGCAGTGTTAAGCAACTCCTGAGAGGCTGGCAAGTGGAGAGTAGGCGCTAGACACTGGAGGGCACAGCTTTGCTATTTTTGCCCCCCAAACTGCCCTGTGACACCCCTGCCAACCTAGCCTGCTGCCCCTTAGATGCTGCAAAGGATTCTATCCCATTGCTGGTGCTCAAGGAAGATTCAGCTTGAACGTCACCTGGCTTGGGTTCACGGAATCAGGCTGACTTCAGACAAGCGTGCCAGACATGGGTTTAGTGGGCTGTCAGGGACACCCGTCTTCATGAAAGGGCAAAGTCAGCAGCGCCAGAGGGTGGGATTCTGCGGGGACAGTCGCTTGGGAAGCCGCCAAGTTTCATTAGTCTCAGAGAGTCCCATGTGGACCACAGGCTCGCCCACAGGTGTCAAGAGGCCCCATCATAGCAAACAGGTGGTTAAAGCAGAACATGGGAACAGGAGAAGGGAGATATTAAGTGACACCGTTAACTTTTTAAAATGTAACTGCACTGATGAAAGGGCTAAAATACTATAAAAAGCACACTCTATATAGAAGTAGCCAGTAGACTTTACAGGATCTAAGCAGCATGAAAAATCCATCCCCACTGACTTAGAAAACTGTCCCAAAGAGGGAGCATCTGGCTATTTCTACAGAAATAACAGATGCTCACCATAAAGAGCATGAAGGAGCATATGGCGAATGTAAAAACCACCCACGACTGTGGGCACACGGAGGTGGCAAATCACGGAAGCGGCCCATAAAAAAAGCAGAAGGCTGTGAATGGCACGACTTTTTCCTCTCATAAATGGCGGCCATTAGGCCTATTGTTTTCTGCCGTTACAGATGGGAATTAGGTCTTTAGCCGGGGAACCCACCGCTTAGCATGGCTGCGCCATACAGCGACAGTTTCAGGGAGCTGGCATGCTTTTCATGTCTCCAATCAGAGAGAGAGACAAATCGTAGTTAGGGTGAACTGCTTTGGTCTAGAGTTTGATTTTTTTCCCCCTTTCAAGCATGGCACCCACCTCTGCCCATTCCCTAACTGGCTCCCAGCAATGGTGTTTCCATGTATGTTGTGCATATTAGCAGCCCTACATTTTGGATCTGCGGGTGCTGTGCTGTATAAGGCCCTATCCTCAGGCTCAGATTTTGGCCCTGAAATCTCAGTAAAGGGGAGCCTGTTAATCTGGAAACCCTACAGATGAAGTTCTGGGCCAGCAAAATTAAATTAATGATGATGATTGCTACCTAACCCCCAAGCTCTAGGCTTAACTATGTGAAAGGAAAACTCCAGCAAAATGTTGGTGAAGCTAGATACAATCCACGAGGCCTATGTGGTGTGGTGGATGGAACTGGGAGACCTGGGTTCAAATCCCGGCTCAGCTATGGAAACTCACTGGGGGCGGAACTGCTAAAGCCTCTCCTTAAATATCTTACATACCTCGAAAACCCAATTAGGGATACGAATGGCTGACACATAAAACAGTATCAACAGCATGGGGCCTATGATGCAAGCATGTGGGCAATATCATATAGGTAGTCACTCATTGGCACTGGACTCAGTTTCATCAGGGTCATCACACTTTTAAAAAAATTAATCAGTTGCAATAACAGTCAGAACCCCAAATAATTAGTTGCAATCTAGTTATGATTTTAAAAAAACCTTGTTTCCTTTCCCTAACAAAGTGATATCTTTATTAGGCCAAATTTGTACGCAAGCTTTTTGGGTTACCACCCCTTCCTTGTGTGTGCTGGAGGGGGGTTAAGAAGAATGAAGAAGCACCCCCAAAACAAACTAGATCTTAACCTTTACGTCACCCCCTGATTTCCCAGAAGCGGGCAAAAGGCAGCCCTTCTGAGGCTACTGGACTACTATTCCCAGAATTCTTCACCATCGACTATGATGAGTGAGTAACACCTTCTCACATTTGAAACATCCTAATTTGGCAGATCTCTGCTACAGAGTAACAAAATGTTCATTTCTGAAAACTTTGTAAAAATCTGGGTGGCATAAACTGCTGGCATGGTGTAAGAAACACTGTCCTTTCATTCCCCGTGCTATCATCTCAATACACATAACAGAAAGCAGTACAAAGAAGCAGCAATAGCCAGCACTCAGACGATGTTCTATCCCTCCTCCATTTTCACCTGTGACTACATTGACAACAAAGTGGGAAGTGCTATGGGATTGGTATGGTCTGATTTGCATTTTTTCATTCACATGTAAATGAAATGCAAATCAGCAGACAATGTCCCTCCTTCATCATTTCCCCCTCTGCCACTGTGGCTTCTAAACAGAAAGAGAAATACAGAATGAGAAGCTGGAATTGGTTAAACAAACTTGTTCACAGCTTAAGACAGTTTTTTTTGTAGCTGCACCTCCTGCAGGGCTAGAAGAAGGCTACATTAACAAGCTGCAAATAAAGTTGTTTAGCCCATTTCTTCCTCCCTATGTGGTCAGTTACCATGAACAGATCCGGAAGGCTACATTAACAAGCTGCAAATAAGGTTGTTTAGCCCATTTCTTCCTATGTGGTCAGTTACCATGAACAGATCCAGAGAAACCCAGATTCCCTGGTGTGACTTCATCACGAGTGAACTAGCATTTATCTCACTGTGTACTTGCACCCTTAGTGAGAAGGGTGGAAGTAACTGAAATTTTAAGTTCTTCCACTAAAGCATTTTACTAAACAAGATCATTAATGATCTTGGGCACATATAGAGAAGACCTACTAAAATACAATAATGCTGGGAAAAGATGATAGTAACAGGAAAAGAGGAAGATCAAGTATGTTCTGATTTAATAAAACAAGCCACTGCCTTCAATTTGTAGACCTCACTAGCGTTGTGTTCTCCAAAAGTTCCTATCAACTGATTCATAGGGTTGCCATTAGGGAAGTGTCCTGATGGCACCTAAAAACAATAGTTATTTGCAGGAGAGCCAGTGTAATATACAGTGGTGCCTTGCACGAGAAATGCCTCGCAGGACAAAAAACTCGCAAGACAAATTGTTTTGGCAACGGGGATGGTGACTCACAAGACAAATGTCCATATGGCCGTGCTCCGCAAGACAAATGTTTTCCGTTTTTTGTTCCTGCCTCATGTTTGCAGATTTTAAAATGTTTTTCTATGATATTTAAAATGTTAAAGCTTTTTTATTGAAATTTTTAAAATCATCTGCACAACATGTATGGCTTTAAAGAGCATTTAATAAACTCTTTGTAAACCAAATTTGACTTTGTTCTGACTTTTTGCCCATAGGAACACATTAATTAGATTTCAATGCATTCCTATGGAAAACGCATTTCGCAAGACAACATTAACCGCGGAACGAATTAAATTTGTCTTGCGAGGCACCACTGTAATAGGTACAGTGTTGGACTAAGACAAAGGGGATACGTATTCAAATCCCTTCTAGGACAAGGAAACTCACTGGGTGCTGGCAGGTGGCAAACCACCCCTTGAACATAACACATTCTTGAAAACCCTACTGGGGGTCTGGAAGTGACTTGATGGCAGATAACAATTATTTGTAACTAGCCACCTCTGAGCCTTGCTCACCACCATCTGGGATGACAATTTCTTGTTGCTATAAAGCACTCAAAGGAGTTCAGATCAACCAATGCAACTCCTAGGCAGGCTTGAGGCCTGCTGCCTCAGACAGTAAATGCTAAATGAGACACCAGCGGTTCACTGGCCTCTTCACTCCTCTGCCCCCTTACAATGAATAAACCCGCAGACCCAAGTTGCCAGTTTGCCTTTATTTGTTAATTGGTTTGTTTTTAAGCCATTTAATACAAGAGTCCAGGAAGAAACGGAGGTCAATTCATATCCAAAAAAAGGATGCAGCACATCAGGGACAATGAGGAAACGTTGGCCCTTTTTAAAGCAGGCACATACAGACAGTTACGTGTGGCAATGACAGCTTCACATCACCAGAGAATGTAGGATTGCGCCCCCCCCCAATTCCTCAATGGCTGGCTTTGATGCCAGAATGCAGGAGACGTCACAGAGAAGGAAAAGCACTGGAATAACAGAGCTAATATTAAAAAAGAACATGGCCTGACTTAACACTGGCAGCAGAATGAGGTGATAGAACTGCAGGAGGAGGAGAAGAACAGGCGTGGGCCTCCCGATCTTGTAGGGCAGCAATTAACTCTTCCTTCCTGATTGCCTTGGCTAGGGCTGAGGCATCAAGCCCCATTTAGATGGGATCAAGTTGCCCACAGCTATAGTAGAAAGGATAGTGAGGTAAGGAGGTGGCTCCAACATTTGGACCACAAATGACAGATTAGCGCTTCCTTGCAAGGTGCAAGAAAAAAAAACTCACACAACGGTGCAAAAAAGTTTCCTTCACAACTCCCCCCATTGTGCTACATAAAGACCTTTTCAATGGAAAGGTGCATTCAAAAATGTCTAGTTTTTTCTGACACCTGAAAACTCCATCACCTCTTTCTCCTTGACTAGAGTGTCACAGGAAGACTCATCCAATGTTCTTCTCCCAACGTTCAAGAGAATAGCATGAACTGGTTCCAGTCAGTCTACCAAGCTGAAATTATCTTCTGTGCTCCACAATGCATTGTATTTGAAAGACACGTTTTGCTCTGAAACCATGCCTGAACTAAAATCTGACTGCACATAATGTCAGAATTGCACATGTTGGTCTCCTGTGAAAGACATATTTATTGGGCACTCGTTTAGATGTATAAAATTTGCAGGACTCATGTAAAATTCCTGATTTATATCAGGAATTCTGGAGACTTGGTCTACCTTCAGTATGGAATGGGTAGATCAAAGCTCAGGACTCTCAGAGGCCCAGTCTAACTCCAGCACACAGCAGTGTGGAGTGAGTAGACCAAATACTAGGTTTCCCAGACACCCAGTTTACCTCCTTTAGGTAGGCCAGACCTCAGTTGCACCACAAAAAGCCTGTGCACTATAGCAAGCTAGTGCTATGTGGCACTGCATTACCTGTATAGCAAAACTCCCCCTGCATTTCCACCTCAATGCAGCCAATAGACCTTGACCCGACACAGACGAGAGCCATGAATTCAAACCCAACATGATGTTCTGTAATGATTGTTAGGCACAGGTTTTCTGAGCATACCTCTACATGTTGCAAAGTAACATGCAAATCAGTCTCCCATGTTTTACTTCTCCAGGAAGCCAAGGAATCTTCCAGAAAACTAAGACATTTAAGAGTACCTTGGAATATCTTGGAGGATATTCTCACAGCAGTGATACCCAAACAAACCTCAACAATCTGTGGCAAATTAGTGCAATTTCTACAGTTAAAACAAAAAGTTGAACAAATCCAGGGAGTCAGTCCCCAACTGGCATTTCTGAACACAGGGCACACCTGATCCAGGAAACAGCGCTATTGAAGTTGGATTTCTCTGTGCCACTTCCATAATTTTTGCACATACACGAATATGATCCTCGGTACAATGGACAATGCCTGGCAAAGGCAGAAAGATGATTTGGATCTTACCACTGGAGAATGCCAGCCAGCTGGGGTGGCCAAGATCCAAGTATGGCTAATCCCAAATTCATGAGGGATTCAGCCCCATCAAAATTATGTGGAGGTCTTCAAATAAATGAGATTAAGGCTGCAGTCCTATGTACACCTAACTGGGACTGACTTCCAAAGACGGGTGCAAATGACTGGGCTGTTAAAAACGGGCATGATCCAAGGACTGGTGAAGAGCTACTGCTTGCAGCAGAGGAAGACCAGAGTCTCCCTCTCTCTCAGATGAGATCAACTTCAAGTGCTCATATTTGTATGTTTTTCCCCCGGTGATGTTAGACAGGCATTTATCAGCATTGTTGATGCTTGTTTTTATTTCTTTAAAAAGAACGAGATTGGACATAAGCCTGAGGCTCTTAAAAAGTGCTTTGGGTGGGGTGTCACAAGGGACTCACTTCTTGCTTGCCCTTTCCTGTAGGCAGTGGCTCCCAACCTTGGGTCCCCAGATGTTCTTGGATTAAAACTCCCAGAAGCTTTCACCATGGGATGTAAGGGCCAGGATTTCTGGGAGTTGTAGTCTGAGAACATCTCAGGAGCCAAGATGGAGAACCACTGCTCTAGAGTCCAGTGGTGGCAACTGAGCAGGGACAGGCTGCTCAAGGGGAATAAGGCATTGAATCCCCTCCCTCCTTCCCCCAACCCCACATACCTAAAATACTGTCTGTGAAATATATACAGACATCTCCACATACACACATATGCACACACACACACACCAATTCCAGACACGAACACACACATACCAAAGAGACAAGGATACCCAGCTCTTAGTCCTTCCAAGTCCACACAAAGCCGGTTCCCAGACACACGCATGTAAGTAAGCATCCCATGCCAGGCACACATGCATCTTGCCCCCCCCACCTACCCCCAGTACTCCCACACACACGCACAGGAATACAAAGACCCCTCCAATTCTAAAGAAACACACAAATGCATTATCAACCCCACTACCCCACCCCACCCCTCTGAATCCTCTGGCCACTGTGGCACTGTGATGTGAGAAAGGAGGTTCTGTGTGCGCATGTCTAGGCGCACGGCTCTCATTGTAAGCATCCCTTATTCCCCCCCTCCCCGGCACATAGGTAAAAACTGGGGTCCTTCCGTGCTGCTCTCTCCCTGGAATAATTAGCTTAATCTCTGAGAAAGCAGGAGAAGGCGACAGAGCGAAATGTTAATGGTTTAATTGGGTTAAAGTTGTGGTTAAAAAGTTAGAACTGCACATACTTGAAAGAAACATTTTATAAAGGGAGTGATCACTGCCTGCCCTCCCCAACACACACACACACACACACTTGATACCCACCCTCTACTGAAATGCATTCCATCGCACACAATGGAGTGATATATGACCGTAACACAAGGCCAGCAGCGCCCCACAGTGTCCATCTGGCACACTGCACCTCCACGAGCACGGCCTCCTGCTTCCACAGAGGACCTCATGTGCAGGCCATGGCAGGCACGATGTGGGCAAAGCCGACCAGGTGGATGAAATGGGTGGTGGTGGTGGATTCGGCAGGTCTTTGCGCCCTCCTCACCGAGGAGAACCAAAGCTCTGTGCTGAGCACATTAGGACTCAATGGGGACGGAAAGAAGAAGGAGACAACACAGAGCATAACATAAACAGGGTTAGGCAGGTGATACAACTGGGAGAGCCATTCCAGCCATCAAGGAGGCTGACATGATGCAATCCCACGGCTCCGCTTGATGCCACACCGGTCTCCTGGTGTGGGGCATCACGCAAGGGCCGGGTTGCCTTCAGGGATTTGTGTGCTCTTGAAATAACCATAGAGTTCAGTCCTCAAAACAGGCAGGCACAGCAGCCAATGAGGGGCCTGAGCGTGACGTCACGGCAACCTGTGGCGACACCGCCTTCCCTCCAACGCCGGCCACGTCTTCCACCGCAAACAGGACCACGATATAAATTCCATCCACACTGGAGGGAATGAGAAGAGGGCAGAAACCCGGAGCCCAGCCCCGGGCACTGAAGCCGCATGCCCGCAGGGCAGCTGTCTCTCAACAGTAGCTGTGCGTCTGCCCCTCTGTGTACACGGTCCAACTCGGGCCCAGGTAGCACCCGGAGGAGGGAGAGCCTTCCCTCCTTTCCACGTTGCCGTACTGCGGGGGAGACTCGTCCAGCTTCCGCAGAGAGGCTGGGGGTGCAGACGCCTGGCTCCCCGGGCGGGCAGGGGGTCCGTCGTAGGTGATGATCGGCTCTGGGCCGTAGGGGGCACGGCCCCAACAGGCTGAGGGCGGGCGGTAGAACTGCAGGACCGTGCGGCTGCACGGCAAAACATCCATGAGCGGGTGGTACTGTCCAGGGGGAGGACAGCCCCAGCCAAGCCTCTGCTTCTGAGGCAACGGGGGTCTGCTGTGGTTGGAGAGGGTCTGGGGAGCCCCTGGGTCAGAATGGCTGCGGGGGTGAGCGCTTTCAGGGGGAGGAGAGGGAGTGGGGGTGACAGAGGGAGGCTCGGGGAAGGGGATGTTAACGTAAATGGGCTCCTGCCGGGTCACTGCAGGAGGAGCGGGCTGAGGAGGCATCCGGGCATTCTTTAAGATGGGCTGGAGGGAAGAAGGGGCAGGAGGCGGGTAGGGCTGGCGCCACGGCCTCTCAAATACACCATAGGAGGCGTTGAAGGTGGCTAAGTATTCAGGGGGTGGGCAGGACGGCCAGGGCCGCACCAAGCCGGGGTAAGCCGGAGGCTCCCCCACAATCTCATAGTAGAGATTCTCATGCTCCATCTGGGGAGGGGGTGTCCCATTGATTCCCGCCTGAGAGGAAACCGGGAAGCGCCCACGGTGTCGGAGATGGTCTGGGACATACGCCTGGAAAGGGGGAGGCCTGCTTTTGAGGGACCAGTGGCCAGGGGCAAGTGGGAAGTGCAGAGGCGGTGGGGGCTTGGGTGGGGCAGGGGACTGGCTGGACAACAGGTAGGAGTCGTGGGGCTGGCGAGTGGCAGGATAGGGGGCAGACGCAGAAGGCGGCTGGCGGTGAAAAGTGTAGGCAGCCCGCGAAGCAGGGGACTGAGAGGAGGGATGGTAGGAGTCTGAGAAGGAATGCAGCTTTGAGTCTCTCTGTGTTATGTCAGTAAGGACCCTCCGGCAGGGAGAAAAGGAGTCGGAGCTTCCCAAGGGGGATGTCTGGTTGACTGAGACCTGCGGCAAGAGAAGGAGAGGAAGATAAACAGTGAGGACTAGTAACACCTTCCACAGATTGGCATGCATCATATGACCTTCCTATACATGACCTTTATTCCCAGTGGCTTTCAAACAAACATTCCATTCTTCCCTCTGCTGCAACATAAGAAACAGCCATTGCAGCAGGTTTGAGGTCAGAGAGTAAAGTGATAGTTAGGTCTTCTCCCACAATGATCCAGAGTTTCCCCAAGATATTTCTGTGCTTAAATCAGAAAATAAAAAACAGCAACATACTCCCCTCACATACTGGAAAATGTACATTTCTGGACTCTAGCTCCCAATTGCAATTTACCAGTACAGTGGTGCCTCGACTTAGGAACTTAATTGGTTCCGGAATTACAGTCGTAAATCGAAAGAAAAAAATCACCAAAAAAAAAAACACCAACCCCACAACACTGCAAGACCTACAGGAAACGTGATTAATCCATTCCGACTGAAGGGAAAGAAAAGAAAAGAAAAGCAAACAAACTGTACAGTCGTAAATCGAAAGAAAAAAATTACCAAAAAAAACCCCACAACACTGCAAGACCTATAGGAAACGTGATTAATCCATTCCGGCTGAAGGGGAAAAAAAAGAAAAGAAAAGCAAACAAACCGTGCAAGACCTTTCAGAAAAGTGATTAATCCATTCTGGCCAGAGGGAGGGAAAAGGAAAGCAAACAAACAGTGCAAGACCCTTTGGAAATGCAAAAAAAAAAGCAAAGCAAAAAAGCAAACAAACTCTGCAAGACCCATCGGAAATGGGGGAGAAAACCCAAACAACAAACAAACCCTGCAAGACCCATCACAGCATAGAAACATGATCCCACCACCCAGCCCAAAACCAGGCTGCAAAACCCACCCAGAACAGTTTTTAAATAGTAGAAAGCAGCACCTTACCCTACCAGTCCCAAGCCGCCTCCGATCACACTCACTCTCTAACCGTTGGGGCAAAAGAGCTACAAAGAAGCAGCCTCTTCACCACAAACGGTTAGCAATTTGAATTCCCCGCCCTTTTTCCATCCCTTTTTCTGGTTGTAACTCGAAGCTCCGATCGCAAGTAGAAGCAAAATTTTGCGGCCAGAGCTGGTCGTAACTCGAAATGGTCATATGTCTGGACACTCGTAAGTCGAGGCACCACCGTATGGCCATTGAACCCCCCCCCAAGAGCTGGAGAACCAGAACACAACATTCCTAAGCTCTGTGTAATCTCCTTCCCTCATGATGCGCCAATAAAAATACAATAGCAAAATCACGGGGGGTGGGAGGGATACCAAAATCTGCCCTCCCACCCCCTGGGATGGTCAGCTCAGCCCTACCCTGGCACTTTCCACGCCCATCCCTCACCTGGCTTGCTCCTGGGTGGTCGTGGCCCTGGCTGCCCACAGTCCGGCCCCTGGCCTGCCCCTGCAGGGTGGAAGGACCAAGGGGCTTGGGGTTGGGCCGCACCATGGAGTAGAGCGCCCGGGCCTCGCTCGTCAGCTCTCCCGCCTTGCACTCTAGAGACAGGGAGCGTCGGAAGTGCGTCCGAGGTTCCCGTTGTCGGAGAGCGGCCTGTCGCTTCTGCTGCAGGGCCACTTGGTGAGCGCTCTCTGCCAAGGCCAGGGCCATCAACCGAGCAGGGTTCTTCGGAGGAGGAGGAGGAGGAATATGTCGCAGCACGGACAGCGCGCCAGGAGATGCGGGAGATGCTTCAGACTTTGGACCTAATTATGAGGGGAAAAAGAGAAAGGAGAGAGACAGAACTATCAGAGCCGGCCCTACCGCTAGGGATGATGGAGCAGCCTTCCTAGGAAGAAGTGTACTAGGGCTTATTTCCAACACAATGTAGGAAACATTCCTTTTTGGGGGTGGAATCGCGACTCCCCAAATCCCAGCGCCTAAGCGGGTAATGGCCATGGTCAATGAGGGATGCTGGGAACTGTAGTTCAAAAATGTTTCCCGTCTCTGATTCTGAGTTGGACCCCTGAGGAGTCGCTAAAGAGGCTCTTCTATCTCCACACGGTGAGAAAAGGATACTTCTACTTTGTGAAACACATTAGGTATCACTGTATTTTTGACCCTGGAATGAGGCCTTGTTTCTACCTCCCACTGTCTCCCCTTCCCATCCTCGGAACCTCGACCATAGGGTACCGAACATCGGAAACAGCCTTAATAGTTAGGAAGTTTTTCTTGATATTCAGCCGAAATCTGGCTTCTTGTAATTTGAACTGATTGTTGCACGTCCTCTGCTCTGGGACGATTGAGAACAGATACTGCCCCTCTTCTGTATGACCGCCTTTCAAGTAGTATTTGAAAAGTGCGATCATATCTCTCCTCAGTCTTCTTTTCTCAAGGCTAAACATGCCCAGTTCTTTCAGTCTGGTTTCCAGCCCTCCAATCATCCTTGTTGCCCTCCTCTAACCTGTTCCATTTTATCGCCATCTTTTTTAAAGCGCAATGTCCAGAACTGGACACACGACAGGAGAGGAGGCCTAACCAGTGCGGAATTCAAGAATTAAGGACTAACAAGGATGATTTGGCATAAACTGTAGGGAGACTGTACTGATGTCATGCCGCAGATAAAGTGGGCCGGTGTCTATGGAAACGTACGCCGAACCAAGCTTCACAGTCCCTAACACGTCACAAGCGTCTTTGCTTGGCAGATCGCAACACCCAACCCAGAAGAAGATAAGGAAGACGGTATTTACTGTGCGGAGATGTGGAGCCTTTGGCTTGCGTGATCTTGCAGCGGACTTCGCGTTCACAGCTGTCGCTGAGTTGCCCACCCGCCGCGCACAGCAGCATGGAGATCATGTGCGGAGGGGAGCCGCACACATTCAGCCCCCGCTCCTCACCAATGGTGAACATTTCCAGCACCTTGTCCGGCAGGGAGACGGGCAGTGGCTCTGGCGTGTCCTTGCTGATCGTTGGGGCTGAGCAAGGCGAGAGGGCCCCCGCTGGGCTTGGCGAGCTGGAGTCGTCCGACAGCGAGGACCGCCGGGCGGGAGGGCTGCACTGGAAGGTCAGTGGGTCAAAGTCCAAGCCGCGGAGGCCCGGCGGGCTCAGTTCCAGTTCGGAGTCGAGCTCCGAGTCCCCCTCCAGCCAGGAGGAGCGGCGCCGGGCAACCATGTCGACCGTCCCGACGGCCAAGCTCTCGCCTCGGCCGGACACGGAGGACGCCAGGGAAGAACAGGAGCGGCACGGCTTGAGGGTGGGGAAGGCATCGCTGCTGGAGTGGGGGCGTCGTAGGCAGGGCAGCTTGGGCAAACCTAGGCAAGGAGACCCAGAAGGGGGGGGGGAATCACAAAAATTAAAGATATATAACAGGCACAAGCAACTTCAGTGGGCCATATTTTCACCCCTAGAGATAGCAAATAGGCCCAAAAATTGGGGGGAGGGAATCAAAACAAGAAGTTAGTAGATGTCCACACCCAGTTTTAATTTTGACTCTGGAGGGTTTTTTTATGGGGGGGGAGAGGGTATGGGGCAGCACTGCAGTCAAAACTAGTGTGCCAGCTGCATCTGTTCCTGGAGAGGTCTGATCCATTCAGGGTGATACGTGCTTTAGTTCCATCCCAGCTGGATTACAGTCAGGTGCTCTATGAGGGGCTGCTTTCAGAAAGGGTTCAGAAAGTCCTGGAGGTCCAAAACGCTGCAGGCAGAGTGCTAACTGGGACTGCTCACAGGGATCAAACAGCCCCTTTGCTGCAGTAGCGCCACTGACTGCCGATCCATTTCTGAACGCAATTCAAAATGCTGGTTTTAACCCATAAAGCCCTTTGCTGTCCTTCAGCGAGCAGGCAAAGACCTTTCTCTGCAGGCAGGCTTTCCCTCGGGGACCGGCTTTAAAACAGAATGGTTTGTATTTTTGTTGCTTTTAAATCTGTTTTAGTAATGTGTTTACCAAACCTTTTTAATACAGTATACTGTTTATTTAATTCTTTTTAAATATTTGATTCATTTACCATTGTTAGCTTTTAATATTGTGTTTTTGGCAATGTAAGCTGCCTTGAGTCCTTTCTTTTAGGAGAAAGGTGGGGTAAATATATTTTAAATAAATAAACAAACAAACGCAAAAAGCCTGCTGTTCATGCAATCCCTTTTGAAAGGGAAAAGCCAACACTTACTGTTTATTTAATTCTTTTAAAATATTTGATTCATTTACCATTGTTAGCTTTTAATATTGTGTTTTTGGCAATGTAAGCTGCCTTGAGTCCTTTCTTTTAGGAGAAAGGTGGGGTAAATATATTTTAAATAAATAAACAAACAAACGCAAAAAGCCTGCTGTTCATGCAATCCCTTTTGAAAGGGAAAAGCCAACACTGATGGTGACAGTCCACGTGGCTGCCAAAACCCTCCTATTTACGTGGCCCAGCACAGGGTGGAGCTGCCACTATAGGTCCTGCGCCTCAGGCGGCATGCTGCTGCCAGGGACAACCTGGTGCCACAGATTCTGCTCTGTACCCCTTAAGGTGGTCTTTACATCCCATGGAGGAGACCGATCTGATGTCCACAGTGAGGTAAAATTAAACCGACGATCGAGCTAGCTTTTCAGACCGGGTGCCATTTTCTTCCCCTCACACAGCAAAATGTCTGCAGCCAGCCCAGCTTATTACCTGCCATACTGGCCTGTGATGTCAGGGATTCCTCGCTCTTGGCCGATCGGAGGGTGACTGACTCCACCTGACCCCCTAGAGACAGAAAGAACAAAAGAACAGGTCTAGGTATGACACTTCTCCCTTCGACAACACTGGGGTTAGGGGCACCTGACCCCTATGTATTTCAAAAACTATGTATAACTCTTATGCTGTCATAAAAAGGTAAAGGTAAAGGTTTCCCTTGACAATTTTTGTCCAGTCGTGTTTGATTCTAGGGGGCGGTGCTCATCCCCGTTTCCAAGCCATAGAGCCAGCATTTGTCTGAAGACAATCTTCCGTGGTCACGTGGCCAGTGCGTCTTAGACACGGAACGCTGTTACCTTCCCACCGAGGTGGTCCCTATTTATCTACTTGCATTTACATGCTTTCGAACCGCTAGGTTGGCGGGAATGCTCTGTCATACGTAACAACAAAGCATAAACAGTTGATTCACACACACACACACACACTTTTCCCCAACCCTCCCAGGATACCCCAGTACCCTTCCCAGGTGCCGCATGGAGCTGCCATGACAGGAGAGGGGGGCCAGCCAGGCCGCCCCTGTAAGACCAGGGGCTACTGCACTGCCAACAGCAGCGCCGTAGGTAAACCCGAGACTCACCTTTCTCAAGCCACTTCCTGGGGACAAAAAGCAGCACGGTATTTATTGAATATTTATTTATTTATTCATTCATTCATTTATTCATGTTTTAAAAGTGTATAACCGAAACCAAGCTTCTTAGGTCCGTGCAATTCAAGGGAGAAGTGTACTTACTAACATTTCTGTCTAGACTCTCCTCTAATGCAGTGGTTCCCAGCCTTGGGTCCCCAGATATTCTTGGACTACAACTTCCAGAAATCCTGGCCAGCACAGCTAGTGGTGAAGGTTCCTGGGAATTTTAGTCCAAGAACATCTGAGGACTCAAAGCTGGGAATCACTGTTCTAATGAGTTCTTCAGTTGTCAGAAATGGCTGTCCTCCTCCTCCTCCTTTATCCTCACAGCACATCTGTGATGCAGGATAGGGAGAAAGAGAGGGAGTGACCAGCCGAAGTTCAGCCAAGCGATTGTCATGCCTTATAGAGAACTGCAATGAGGACATATCCAAAATCTCAATCCAACGTTCTAGCCATCACACCATAATAATGGCTCATTATTATTATCCCTTTGAAAAGGGCCATAGCCAAGCTCAAAATCCCACCTCCAATCCTCTGCTGAGATTTTATCCACTTACCATTGGGATAAACATAAAGGCACAGAAGGTTGTCTTCAACCTATTTGTAAAATCTCTCCCTCTCCTCAGCACACATGCAATTTGGTGTCTAGTATAGAACTGAACATCAGTATGTCTCAGCTTCCTTTTTTAAAGAAGTCTAGCCCTCAAGGGTGCTGAGATAAGCTTGAAATTGCATGGGAGTGTTTGATAAAATCTCAGAAACCAGAGGCGCAGGCCTATTACTTACTCTCCCCACAGCTGTCAGAAACAGGACAAATTATGCAAAACATGCTGATAACAATGTAAATTTGATTTGTTTTCACAATCTGTTAGAGACAAATCCTGGATTTTCTCAGTACAGATTTAGGGGTTTCAACAAAGAGTAAAGCAACCCTCCAGTGGTACTAAACAGCAAGAATTTCAGTAGGTGGATAGAAAATTACTGATAAAATCCAGAATTTGCAAATTAAATACAACAGAAAATGTGTTGGAAGTGTGCAAGATCATTACTTTTGTAAGTGATTCATCCAAAAGAAGACTAAAGGTAAGTTGTGGATTTTGGAATTTCTTCAATGGATCAGCAGAAATTCAAGCATATTATTACATCTTAACATTTTACAAAAACGGTGTCTTTCTTCCCAAAAAGCTCATTGTTTGTAGACTTAGTGCTCTTCTTTCAGTCTGATCTGCACAACCATCTTAAGGCAGACCTGGGCAAAGTCTGGCCTGTGGGCCGCATACAGCCCACAAGCTGCTCCTGTCCAGCCCGCCCATCAGCCCGCCACTGAATGAGCCAGCACTCCGGCTCCAGTCATCCAGCATGGCAGTAAGCAAAACTCATGAGATCCAACGCTGGGATCTCACAAGTTTGACTGCTACTCTTGAGCCACAGGCTCCGCAGCCTGTGGCTCAAAAGGCTGGAAGCGATCCTTGCGCAGGCGACGTGATGCGTAATCACGTTGCCTGCATGGGATAGAAGACAGTTGGAGAGGAAGGCCACAGGAGAACGGAGGACAGGTGAGTTCGCTCAGTGTTGGGGGTTTTTTCTTCCCCCCCTGCCTCCGAAGACAGTTCAGATTCTTCGTGTGCCCCCCATAGAAATTAATTGCCCACCACTGTCTTAAGGGGTAAGGTCAAGGTAAAGGTTCCCCTTGACAACTGTTGTCCAGTCGTGTCGGACTCTAGGGGGCGGTGCTCATCCCCGTTTCCAAGCCATAGAGCCAGCGTTTTGTCCGAAGACATTCTTCTGTGGTCACATGGCCAGTGCGACTCAGACACGGAACGCTGTTACCTTCCCACCGAGGTGGTCCCTATTTATCTACTTGCATTTACATGCTTTCGAACCGCTAGGTTGGCGGGAATGCTCTGTCATACGTAACAACAAAGCATAAACAGTTGATTCACACACACACACACACACTTTTCCCCAACCCTCCCAGGATACCCCAGTACCCTTCCCAGGTGCCGCATGGAGCTGCCATGACAGGAGAGGGGGGCCAGCCAGGCCGCCCCTGTAAGACCAGGGGCTACTGCACTGCCAACAGCAGCGCCGTAGGTAAACCCGAGACTCACCTTTCTCAAGCCACTTCCTGGGGACAAAAAGCAGCACGGTATTTATTGAATATTTATTTATTTATTCATTCATTCATTTATTCATGTTTTAAAAGTGTATAACCGAAACCAAGCTTCTTAGGTCCGTGCAATTCAAGGGAGAAGTGTACTTACTAACATTTCTGTCTAGACTCTCCTCTAATGCAGTGGTTCCCAGCCTTGGGTCCCCAGATATTCTTGGACGACCCTGCAGCACAGGCTTTTGCGGTTTAGTCCGCATCGCCACCACGTCTTAAGGGGTAGGATATGTTAAACAGTACTGACAGAAATATACTAAGTCTGTCTTCATGGCCAGGAAAAAGAGCTGAATTCTGGCCTCCCAGTCTGAACTAGGAGTGGCCATCAGCCCTTTTTTTTAAGGACCACATTCCCTTTGAGATAATCTGTGAGGAGTTAGGTACTTGTGGTAGGTGGAGCCAAAATTAAAAGTGGGTGCAAGAATCTCTTCATATCCTGCAGCACTAAACAGTCCTTCTGAAATCTGAAACCATTAAAGTGGTTTCGGGGAAGAACCTAGTCCTCACCCACCAACTCCTCATGACTTCAGTGATGTGAGCAGTGATGCCAACAAAGAGGAGACACTCTCACTGACATATAGGTTCCGGCATGAGATTTAAAAAATCTGGGTTCTTATTCCTGTGTAGGGCCTACTCAAAACCACCTTCACCTCTTCCAGGGGATCGCATGAAAGCAGGTTTGGCTCTTCCCTACAACCATGTTCATGATTCCAGATAGTGTCTCTCTCTTTCTCCTAAATGCTGCCCTCTCTCCCTTTCGCTTTCTCGCCCTGACACCTTCTCTGCGCCTCGCCCTATTCAGTCACTGAAGAGCTATTCAGTCACTGAAGAGCACTAAACGCATGCCTTGCCCTATTCAGTCACTGAAGAGCACTAAACGCACAGGGAAGGAGAGTAAACAAAACCTGCCTCTTCTTTCTCAAGGTCTGAAGAGGAGAGACTCCTCAATCAGTAACTGTTGTCCACATGAGACAGAACACAAGGAAATCAAGCTCGCGTGGAGGGCTTTTGTGAATGATGATAGTCTCGCCTCTTTCGACCTGTTGTGCCGCACGAGTAAAGAATCCTCAAGAATTCTTTGGCTTGTGCTTGTGCAGAAGATCCATTCATGACCTTGTTGTGGGATTTGTGTGTGCATGGGAAGACTATACACCTGTCTCCTTGTCTTATTAGAAGAAGTAAACAGGTCAGAGGAGAAGAGACACAAGGCCACCTGAAGCAGCAGCAGATGCCACGTCCAGCTGATGGTTGCATCTCTCACCTGGCAGGGATTCTCCAAGTCCAAAAAGCTCTCCAAGGCGATGCGACTTCTTACGGAATGTGACCGGTGCTTTGCCAAGAGCAAAGAAGGCTTTCCATCCAGGCCCTGATGTTTTCCGCAACCTCCCATTACTTTCTGCCTTTTGCCTACAGAAAGAAGAAAAAGATCAGCACCAACCACCGGGACCTACGCAGCCCAGCCCCGTGCCGGATGGCAGAAAGCTTGCCCAGCTGCCTCTGAGCTAAAACAGACCCAACATACTCCCAGTGGCACATCAGTTGCCAGACGAAAAAGATCAGCACCCAGCCACCGGCACCTACGCAGCCCAGCCCCGTGCCAGATGGCAGAAAGCTTGCCCGGCTGCCTCTTAGCTAAAACAGACCGAACATACTCCCAGTGGCACATCAGTTGCCATAAGATCATTGCACAGAACAACGATACAGATGGTGTGGTAGTGGAAGCAGGACTCACAGAGTCAAAGCACTGGCGCTTTTCAACTGGCAGGGACGAAGACATCATCTGCCATGACCCTTAGTCATCTCTGCATTCTCTGAGGTTAGCTGCATTGCTCTTGTCAGTTATCGGGGGCTGGGATGGATTCTTCCAGGAACAATGCATTCCTATGATCTGTCCCTCCTGTAATGTGTAAAGCATTTTCTTATGCTTTGAGTTCAGGTCCATGTCCTGCAGCGACAGAGGTATCTGGCAGAATGCTTTCTTCCAGCGAGAACTGCCTACCCTATTTGTTTGCCCCAGGCTGGACGTCTGACGGTGCTGACCCCAAAGGGAGTCCGAGAGGAAGAAAACAAGGAAATGGGCCTTCTCAGCAGTTGCACCCCAACTCTGAAACCAACTACCCCTGGATATCCACCAGGCCTCCTCGCTGGTAACTTTGTGAAGGCAGGCATTTTATTCCATTCTGCCAATGGAATCCCGATGAAATTACCAACCAGCAAGATGATCACGCCACCACTTTAAATGCTTAAAGGTGTAAATGTTTAAATCTTTGTGCCATTTTAATACGTTTCATTATGCTGAATTTATTTTTATATTTGTAGTGATGTTGTTGTTGTCTTATGCTGTGTTGTAAACCACCCCGAGTGGCCGCTGGCTAGATCAGAGGTACATAAATTAAATAAAATTAAAAATTTTAAAACTGGCTTTACAAAAGACCTACTGATGGTGAATACGGAAGTGGCTAGATTTGTTGACATAGAACAATGCAGACACCTGGATTTAGGTTTTTTTTAAAAAAACTTTTCTTTTGGATGTGCAAGACAGACTGCTATAATGAGCGTGTACTTCAAAATTTACCACCACACAGACATTCAGGGTCAAACAAAGGACCAACTTAATCCCTCGTCCTGTTTTCAGGGGTTGTCCAGATGCCACTGGAAGCTTACAAGCAGAGCATCAAAGTCAATTCATTACATTGTCACTTGGAATAAGAGGCGCACTGCCTCTGTACATGGAGGCCCCATTACCTGGTATCTGGTGAACCTAATATGGCAGAGAATTTTCCTTGTCCCTGCGGATTGACAGATTCCTGCTTGGACTCTGACCTGCTGATCTTGCACAGGGCTTGAGTACGAGCCTGTGCTTCTTCCAGGGACAACAACCGAGTAGATGGGCAGCTGACCAGCTGGGATTTGGGTCGGGGAAGGAAGCAGCGCCCTGTGGGAAGAGACAGATTATGAGCATGCTGACACGGGCTGCCTCAAACCCACATGCCAGAATAGGCAGGCATGCCCATGATTGTCCAGCCTCAGAAGCACACACTGTACAATGCTTAGTTGGGTCCCCAGATGTTGTTGGACTATAGCTCCCAAACTCCTTGACCACTCGACATGGTAGTAGAGGATTATAGATGTTGAGGTCTAGCAACATCTGTGGTCCCAAGTATGGAAACATCTGGCCTACAGCCTTGCTGAAGTATTTGCCTGAAAGTGCAACGGCTACATGTAGAAGGACAGTGCCCTTACAGTTCCATATCAGTCTGCCCCTTCTGTCTTGGTACCATTCATAGAAGGGAACCAGGTCACTTTATGCACATGTACTCAAATACAAGGAGCACACGCTGCAGAACTCAAGATCTTGAGTCTCAGGATCCCTCACCGCACAGATCATTTATTTTACATTTAAAATAATGTGAGCAGAACTGCTTCAGACTGCTTAGCATGACAAATTTAAAGACCGAGGGAAGCGGGCAGACTCAGGCCTACAGCAGTGGAGCCAGTGTGTATACCTCTATGCCTACTTTGAGCCTGGACATGTTCAGGCAAACATCCAAAGAGGCCTGCGGTGTCTCATGGACATCACGTCCTGCTGTACAAACAGTACAAGCAATAGCACTACAGTCCAAAGGCAAAGAAGGGGAAAACCTCCCACCCATAGATGACACTTCATATTCCCCCCCCCCATGAAATTAGGCTGGAAGACCTTGGCTTGAAGATTTTTAGAACAGCAGAGATGTCTAAAAATGCCCTCATTGTGTTTGGTAAAAATGGTTTTAATATTTTTTTCCTTCTTGGGTTGACCTCTTGAAGTTAGGGGAGATTCTGCAGGTCTGCAGCACGATTCACTTAAAACTTGGGGGGAGGAAGCTCACTGGGAAGAGAGTCGGCTAGCTTGATTCCATGATGTAACTAACATATCATCTTAGAATTGCAGAGCTAGAAGGGATCCTATAGATCATCAAGTGCAGTCCATGTCAAAGAGGCACAGTGAGAAACTGAACTCCCAACTGCTGTCTCTGCAGCTAGAGACCTAAGCCACTGAGCTGTCCAGCAGTATCTCTCTCCTCTGCCCCACAAGAACATGGTAGCAACTGGTTTTAAAATATTTGATAACTTATTTTTTTAAAAAAAAAGTAAAGCATACATATTTAAACAGGATAGGCAACTTCAGGTCTCAGAAATTCACATGCCCCCTGGAAATCTTAGGGGGGTGGAGCTGGGTCCACTGGCATCATCAGGTGTTTTTGAAAACTGAAAAAAAAAGGCTTCTTATATACTGCAGGGACTATGGGGAAGAGTTGGAGCACATTCTCTGGCCCCCTGTACTTGTTTTAAACTCAGGGAAACTTTTTCAAGACTGAAAGGAAACAGAAGTGACATCTGGTTTTGAAAAAAATAATTCGCCTCCTTCTTTAGATGGGTCAGGCCCAACCCAAGGAGTGCCAAAATTGCTCCCCCCCTTCTCCCATGCTCCTAAAGGTCATGCTGAGCCTCTTAAAAGTAGAAAAATGTTGAGGGCGATGGGCAGCTCTGTGGTTTAGACAGCTGGCTGCAGAGCCAGAGGTTCAGAGTTTGATTGCCTGGACTCAGTGATCCCTGGGGACCCTTTTAGTTCTGCAGTTCTAAGATAATGATGACGATGATGAGTATTGTCAGGGGTCTCACATGGCCCGCAGGTCACATTTTACCCACCCATAGTAAAAAGCAAAGTGCACCTGCTGCTTTAAAAGAACAGCTCACCCAAATTGCCAGGAGAGGACTGGGGGGCGGGGGGGGGGCTGAGAAGCTGCATCCAGTTTCCGCTTACTGACAGGTATGCATCCCTCTCACGCAAATGTAAAAGCAAACACACGCTGTAGGCAAAAAAATGTCTTGGGTGCCTTGTTAAATATTTGTTTGCCTGTTTAAAATTTTATAGCCTGCCTTTCTGCCCAGAGGCCTCCACAAGCAATGAGGGGGTATGTGTGTGACCTCCAGGTCAACAATTACAAATGCAGCAGTAAAACTGGTTGGTCTTCCCTCTCAGTTTTGCAAAGAATACAAATAAATATTTTTCAGAACTCCTAAAACGATCCTTTAGACCTCTGACCTCTGTGATAAATTGAACAGGGGAGTGGATTTCTGTTGCTATAGCAAGCCTGGGGAACCTGGGAGTTTTTCTGGACATCCTGAAACGCCCGGCTCTTTCACTAGCCCTGGAATCAATGTCCTGTTCTGCACCCTTAGGGTTTTTTTTAATGCACCTCTGAATATTCAGAACCTGGATTTTTGCAATGTTGAGGAAATGATTTTTTCCCCCAGAATGTTGTACTGGTAATGAAACGTTTTCATCAACCTCTGTCACGTTATCCAGGAACTATCTATAACATCCCATAATGTGAATCAAATGGTTTTACAGCACTTTTCAGAACATCTCCTTGGTAATCCATACCTGTTCTTTCCTGCTTACTTTCTCTACCTTTCTTTTTTAATCATGGAATCAGAATTGTTATTCCTTCCGCTAGACGTCTCTACACAGGGCATGATTAATGTATACATGGCATGCTTAACAGACAAGACCAGCTTTACCCTCACCCAACCCCTGTGCAGCTTGGGTCCAGACTATCTGAAGGGTTGCACTATTCCATATAAGCCTCCCTCTTCTTATTTTATTTATTTATTGGACTTATATACCGCCCCATAGCGCTACAAGCACTCTCCGGGCAGTTTACAATTTAATTATACAGGCGGTCCAGACTATCTGAAGGATTGCATTATTCCATATAAGCCTCCCTCTTCTTCTGGAAAGGTTCTTCTCTCAGTGATGATCATAGAACTAACTACCTTTGGCAAGAGCACAAGATTGAGCATGTTCAATGGCTCTGCATTCCACCAGGCTGTGGAATACACGGCCCTCGTGAGCCATGTTGGCTTCCTCTCTCTTGCCTTTCCATTAGCAGCCAAGGATTTTCCTTTTTTAGGCAAGCTTTCAGTTGACTCAAACGAGCAGGGGCCATTATGGGATGCGGACTACTCTCACGAGGCTCATCTTCTGGAAAGGTTCTTCTCTCAGTGATGATCATAGAACTACCTTTGGCAAGGGCACAAGATTGAGCATGTTCAATGGCTCTGCATTCCACCAGGCTGTGGAATACACGGCCCTCGTGAGCCATGTTGGCTTCCTCTCTCTTGCCTTTCCATTAGCAGGCAAGGATTTTCCTTTTTTAGGCAAGCTTTCAGTTGACTCAAACGAGCAGGGGCCATTAAGGGATGCGGACTACTCTGAATGGACAGGGTATGTTTTCAGTTGTATTTAAATGTAGTGGTAGTTTTATTATTTGTTAAACTGGTTTTTAATACTATATCATATTGTGGTTTTAACTATGGTTTTAATTCATTGTGAGCTACCCTGGATCCCTTACAGGGAGAAAGGCAGCAAATAATATAATATAATATAATATAATATAATATAATATAATATAATATAATATAATATAATATAATATAATATAATATAATATAATATAATATAATATAATATCCCCTTCCAACTTCAACTATTCTATGATTCTATGATTTCTATGAAAGGGCAGCAATTAGATGTTTATTGAATAAGAATAAGATAGGGAGAGATGCTTATAGGATTTTCTGTCTCAGGGGCCAACATAGTTTCTGGCGCGATGCTTTTTGACCCATGCATTGGGGCATCTTTTGCCACTTCACCATGAGCCACAAGATGTCCTGGGTCAGCCACGTGATTGGAGGACGGGGCCCGATTCCTTTCCCAGCGCGCCTACCCCTTTGCCTTCCTGGTGCCTTTCCCAAGGGCTGCCGTGGGTCTCTAGCCCTGCACAAATATTCAACCCAGCCTCTGCACAAATATGACCTTATAACCATCACAGGGGGGGAAACAGGGAAAGCCCCATGCCCTCTTCCCTATGTTTGTCAACAGAGCTTGGAGATGATAGTTTACAGAACTACAGAATCCAGAATCTCCCAGCCTATGTGGGTGGTTGTCCTACTGCTGGGAGATACTGGATAATGGAGTGTAGAAAAGAAACACACACACACAAACACGCGATAATGGAGTTTAAAAAAGAGCTCTACATACACACACACACACACTCTCTCTCTCTCTCTTCCGGTGATCAATGACCTCCTCTCCAGACCTCCAAGTGCTGGTAGCTGAAGGAATGTAGCAGGAACCAGCTCTCCCCCTTTAGGCTTCTGGCACAGTTTAGAACCACATAAAATTAAGGTACAACATCTTGCAGGGAGTCAACATATGCAAAAAATAAGGCGCCCTACTGTAGAAGGCCCAGCATTACTCCAGCATGCAGAAGCCTCTGGGCTGCAGTGACAAGAATGCAATGGAATACAGTAGATGGAATAGAAATTGCTCTCCCCGATTCATGCAATTTCAACTGTACAGGAAATGAGCTCAAAAGCTTGGAAAATTTATTTATTTTTTTGGACTACAAATTCCAGAACCCCAAGCTAATACTTCCATTGTCCCCACAAGCTGCAAATTCTGGCAGCTGCAGTCCAACAAGGATAAACTCTCCAAGCTCTGTGTGAAAGTCTAAATGCAGCTTCTTTGCCAAGCCAGGGGAGGGGGGAGGCTGGTGATGGCTCTTTGCCTGAGGCTGGGTTGGAGGAAACAAAGTCAACTTTTTAATGCTACGAAATATACGCAATTGGCATGGTTATAGTTTCCTGCACAAATTCGGGGAGATGCAGCACCTCTAAGGAGGAACCTCTGACAATTTGGAACAGTTTCTTTCTCAGCAACTTCACAAAAACAGTAGTGTGGGCGAGGTATACCTGCACCATCCTTGCCAACCGAGGTGAACGTGTCACTGAAGAGAATCTGAACATTGTTGAGAAGGAATTCGACCACGAGCGACTGAACCCTGACCTCCTGAAATGCATCAGCTCCACACTGGGCAACCGATTCCAGAGCCACTGACCTACCATACAAAATGGAGGGGGGGGGGAGATATGAGGCAAAAGAAAAGCCTGAGGCAGGAACAAGCATGCCATAGCCACAGGACTACAGCCTAGAGAGGGCACGGTACAGGGCCAAGACAACATGGCTGCATAGGGAACAGATCCCCACGACAGCTTTCCCCTCATGGGCTGGGTCAGAACACCAAAGAATTATGGGAACGGAACAGAGGGGTCAAGTTATGCTCAAGAGCTGTGGCTGCTTTATTCCCAGGTGTCAGTGCAGGAAAGGATGAGTTTTGCGCCCCGGAAAATTGCGGGCAGGGACTTGTGAGAGCGAAGGGGAAGCTCACAAAGGAACACAGAGAAGATTACAAGAGCAACGCAGGCAAAGAGCAGAGGAGGCAGAAGGGAGAGGATCCGGGCAGTACAAGGAAGGCAGATGGGAAAGTGCCGAGGCAGGGCCATAGCTCTGGCCGTCTCACCGCAGCAGGTTGGGTGCCCAAACGATGGCTAAGTTGCGGATATGCATGCTGGTGTTTTGGCTGTGCATAGCCATGCGTGCCAGGTGCCGCAGGAGGAATTCCAGAGTCCTGTTGGGATAGAGCAGAAGCTGCTACAGCTGAAGAATCGGAATCTATGGCTTCCCTTCCCTGAGTCCCAAGCAGCTCCCGCTACATCCCAGCTCCCTCTCTCTTCCAAAGACTCCTCTGTCTACCCACCCTGCTCATTTTGGAGAGCTCTCTCAATATCCTCTGCTCTTTAGGCAACGCGTACCTATAATGTGGTGGAGGCAGTTGCTGGATGACATCGTGGACTCGCACCAAGCGTTCCTCATTCCCGGAAACGGATACAGCTTCCTGCAGAGATGGGAAGAGAAAACAAAGTAGTAGGCAAAGTAGTGTCGACATGACAATCAGGGCTCAGATGAAGCAAGGCAGTGGCACTGAATTTATCATGCCCACCTATAATGTACATTTCAATGAATTCTTATAGCACCCTTACTCCCACTCACATTTCAGCATAGTGTACAATGAAACAGTAATGCCATTATTATAACAACAGCCATAATCCGGCTGATTAGTTTCATCAGTGGAAGTCTAATGGTGTATACTGCAGAAGCAAACTGCCACTACTTAACCAGTTGCCTGTTCTATCTCTTGTCATGGACCAGCTCACAAGGGATATTATTAGCAGCAAGACTAACTCATGTCCGTAGATTTTTGTGGGTCTGCTCCAAATATAAGTAATTCTGGATTCAACCCAATGAATCAGAGTACGCCCATTGAATCAATGGAACTTACAGAGGAGATGGCTCACCAAATCTTCCCCGATTCATTGGGTCTACTCTAGGTGTGACTTAAAGCAAAGCAAAGGGTGCAGCTTACATACTACCCCATTGCCTTTAAAACTCTCTCAGGGTGGTTTACAATTTAATTATGCAGGGTACATATTGCCGTCGCCCACAAGATAGGTACTCAATTTACCAACCCTGGAAGGCTGAGCCAACCTTGAGCCAAACCTGAATTTGTTGGGACTGAACGCAAATTTTGAGCAGATACAGCCCCCCCCCAAAAAAACACACCAGTCACACATGCACTGGTAACAAGACTGGACTACTGCAATGTGCTATACGTGGGGCAGCCTTTGAAGACGGTCCGGCAACTGCAACTGGTACAGAACCAGGCTGCGTGGGTGGTAAGTGTTGCAGCCACGTGGACTCATATCACCAGTTCTGAAAAATTTACACTGGCTGCCAGGTGCTGCTCGGGCCCAATTCAAAGTGCTTACTTTGACATATAAAGCCCTAGACAACTTAGGATCTGGTTACCTAAAGGACCACCTTCTTCCATACGAGCCTGCCCGTCCTCTAAGACCAGGCCAGGAGGCCCTTCCGAAGGTGCCATCCCTGTAAGAGGTGAGGGGGATGGCATGTCGAAATAGGGCCTTCTTGGCTGTTGCCCCCCAATTAAGAATGCCCTCCCTACAGAGATCCACCTGGCTCCGACACTTTTGGCTTTTCAGCGCCAGGCAAAGACCTTTCTGTTTAGCCAGCATTTTACTTAAATAGTATCCTTTAGCTGGTTGTATGAGCGGCAAGATTTATTAATATTAATGTTTTAATGACTGTTTTTAATATAGGGTATTATTATAATATTGCCCATATTTAATGGTTTTAATGTTTTTAAAGTTCTAATATTGTTGTACGCCGCTCAGAGACCATTGGTAATAGTGCGGCTAAAAATTTTTTGTAAATAAATAAATTAAAAGTGCCCTGGGGAATTTTGCTGCTCTTAAAACAACTGGGCAAACTATCTAAAAGGAAAACATACTGCTACAGAAGGGAGGAAAGTGATGTGAATCTCATCTAAATAGTAGAAAGGAAACAGTGGTGTGGGAATTCAAGAGCACAGCAAAGACAGGAAGCAATTAATCCATTCCGCCTCCTTCCAGCTTTGTACCAAGCCAATGGATGGCTGACACATTGGGAAGCGACAAAGTTCACCTGAAGCAATGACAAGACCTTTCTTCAACACATCTTCACTCCCTGCTTCCTGCCTGGGCAACATGCCTGAGCCAAGAGCCATCCCTTATTATGAAAGAAAGAATACCCTCTTTTTTTAAGAGGCAAAAGGAGAATGGAGCGAAGTAGAGTGGAGATAAATGGCTGCAAAGAGCATCCACAGTGCCATGGGGCCGGGGGGTCACAATGGCCAATGAGTAAGTGCAAGAGAAAAGTGAGACCAGCAGAAGGGCTCCCGGGCTCCCATCATTCTATGGCCATGCTCCCAAGCCAGTGGTAGCTGTTATTCCATAAGACAAAGTGGTCCCCAGTGCACAGGGAAATTCGTATCTTTTATCATGTAGCCCATAAGAAGAGCATTCATCCATGCATGCATCACAGTTAGTGCCATAGGGTGTTGTATTGTTTTAATGAAAGCTAAACACTGGGAAGAGCTGTCTGGATATAGCTCAGTGCTTTAGGTATCTGGCTATGGAGCCAGAGGTTGGGAGATACAAAATCAACAAATTTCCCCAAGGGGGCTAACAGCCCACTTCATTCACTGCAGTTCTGTACTTCATGGCCTGACATGATGAAGTGACATCTCTGATTCACATCTTTTGCAGTGTTAGGCATGCCGGGATGTTGATCTTGAAAGACCACAGTGCTAATCAAAGCCAATGTAAAAGAAAGGAGATGGGATGGGATGGTGAAAAAAATTCAACATAACTGGAGTTAACTAAGCCTAAAATAGCACAGCACAAAGAACAGTCATACAAAAGAACAGGGAGGGAGTAGGAGGAAGTGCAGTATGTATTATCGCGTGGGCGACAACGTTGGCGGACAATCTAATTGCACTCTGCTGTTCCACCTCCTCACTCTGTTTTGCTCTGTAATTCCTACTTCCATTGTTTCACCAGGGAAAGCCCCCGGTGTAGAGAGGCAGGTG